AGGTGTACGAGCCCCCAATAAAATGATTTTTTAAAAGAAAATTTCATAATTAAGAAGGTGAAACTATAAATAGATAACTTACAGAATATTTTTCAGTATAAATGTTCTTTTCCTAAAACACAGTATATCTTTGTAGTTCATATATATTAAATTAGTTATCTTCTGGAGAAAAAAAAGAGAAGAAACTATGAAACTTCCTCTTAATTGTAAAGTAACTAAAACAAATGGAAGAAATGAAGTCCAAGAGCTAAACAGAAAATCCCACAGGGCATCTCGAGAAGATAAAGTAAAATATTATAATGAAATGTGCAAAGACTTAGAATTAATACGCTCAGCATATTTTAAACTGAAAAACTCAAGAGAAAATTCAAGCTTCAAGTTGCAACACTGAAATATTCAATGGGCAAAATAGTGAATGATGCAGGAAGCATCCAAAGAAGATGGAAAGAACACCCAGTCACGCACCTAAAAGAACTAGTTGACCGTCAATCATTCCAAGAAGTAGCACACGAGCAAGGACCCACGGTACTGAAATAAGAACTTCCAGGCACACTTAAAGCATTAGGCTCCAGGAACTGATGGCAGACTCATTGAAATGTTTCAACAAGCTCATGAAGGCCTGGAAGCTCTCACACATCTATTCCAGGAAATTTGGAAGACATCCGCTGGACCAACTGACTGGAAGAGATCCATATTTGTATCTATTTCAAAGAGAAGTGACCCAAGAGAATGAGCAAATTGTAGAACAATATCAGTGGTAATCACATGCAGGTAACATTTTGCTCAAGATCCACTCTGATGGTCAAGGATTATGTCAAGTAGACACTCCTGGATAAGAGTAGGGGCAGAGCCCAGCCTAATAACACCTCCTTGAGAATGTGCACTTTTGTATAAGAGAGAGAGTCTAAGCAGAGTCAGACTCCTTTTGGCCGTCCACATTCTGCAAGCTGAATGTTTTGTCTGGTTCTGAGATCTCCTGCTGTGATGTCTGATCCTCCCAGGAGCCCTCAGCAGACTAAGGTGGATTCATTCAGCTGATTTAAATTCAGATTACCTCTGTATCCACCAACCTGAACCCCCACCCCCCAGACCCATCTCTGCTTCCTCATCCTGCTTCCTGATTGTTAGCTTCCACGAGTCAAGAGAAGCCTTACTTGAACATAAATCTCTTTTGATATACAACACATCCCAGCATCACTGGTTTGGCCTCTCTAGGAAAATCAACCTAGCACATCATCTAAGAATGGTTGCAGCAGTACATTGACAGGAAACTTCCAGAAATTCAGGCCAGATTCAGAAGAGGACATGGAACAAGGTATATCATTACTGATGTCAGGATCTTGGCTAAAACCAGAATACCAGAAAGATGTTTACTTGTGTTTCATTGATTCTGCTAACACCTTTGACTGTATGGGTCATCGGAAGGGTGGTCCACATTGTGCTCATGTGGAACCTGGATCAAGAGGCAGTTTTGTGATCATGGTTTAAAATCAAGAAAGGTGTTTGTGAGGGTTATATACTCTCACAATATTTATTCCATCTGTATGCTGAGCATATACTCAGAGAAGTGGCTAATATGAAGAAGAACGCGGCATCAGGTTAGGTTAAGGCATCTTTCGCCTATGCAGATGACACAACCTTGCTTGCTGAAAGTGAGGAGGACTTGAAGCACTTCCGTTTGAAGATCAAGGATTGCAACTTTCAGTATAAATTACAACTCAATGTAAAGAAGACAAAAAATCTTCCCAGCTGGACCAATCGGTAATGTTATGATAAATGAAGAAAAGATTGGAGTTGTCGAGGATTTCATCTTGCTTGGATCCACAATCCATGCTCGCGGAAGCAGTAATGAAGAGATCAAACAATGGCTTGCATCAAGTAAGTCTTTTGCAAAAGATCTCTTTAAAATGTTTTAAAGCAAACAAGTTACTTGGAGGACCAAGGATTGTCATAGAAGTACAGCCAGAACTCTCCTTAGAAACAAGAATGGGAAGAATTTGTCTCTTGTACTTCAGCTATGTTCTCAGGAGAGACCAGAGTCAGGAGAAGGAAATGATACTTCTTAAAGCAGAGGGTAGTGAAAGAGAGGAAGGCCCTTGAAGAGAAGGATTGACCCGGAAGCTGCAACTACAGGTTCAAACAGAACAATGGTGTGGATGACCGGACAGGGTGGTGTCTCTTTCAATTGTATATTGGGCCTTTGTGAGCCAGAACTGATTCAATGATGCTTAACAACTGCAGCAGCTGGGAAAGTGCCCCTAAAGGAAAAGGTAAAGGTAAAGCAGCATGTCCTTCTTCTTCTTCTTCTTCTTCTTCTTTTTCTTCTTCTTCTTCTTCTTCTTCTTCTTCTTCTTCTTCTTC